TCATTTAATAATGCTTTTTGAAGAGTTTTTTTATATTGTTGCACACAGAGTTGTTCCATGCCTTTTTTTTCCTTGAGACGGAGTTTTGCTTTTTTGCCCAGGCTGGAGTGCAACGGTGCAATCTCGGCTCACCACAACCTCCGTCTCCTGGGTTCAAGTGATTCTCCTGCCTCAGCCTCCTGAGTAGCTGGGATTACAGGCATACACCAGCACACCCAGCTAATTTTGTATTTTTAGTAGAGATGGGGTTTCTCCATATTGGTCAGGCTGACTCGAACTCCCCGACCTGAGGTGATCCGCCCACCTTGGCCTCCCAAAGTTCTGAGATTACAGGCATGAGCCACCAGGCCCGGCCTGTTCCATGCTTTTAAAAAGCTGCATAATATTTTATCAATGTAGCATAATCTATTTAAGCAGTCCTCCATTGATGGACATTTAGGTCATTTCCAATTCCTTGCTATATTGAATAATGTTTTAATGAATATCATTTTACATAGATTATTTCTTACATATGCAAGTATATCTTTAGGATATACACATATGTGGAGTTGTTGGGTTTAAGAATATGTTTAATTAAAATTTTGACAAGCTTTGCCAGTGTGATATTTGGGCATTTAACAATCAGTGTAGCACAGGCTGCAATTCATCAGAATGGATGCTGACTGTAGACAGCTGGTAAAGGCTGCATGTCAGATGAATATTGTCAAACTGCCCTTCAAAGATGTAACTGATGGTTCTCCTTTAAATAAGTGATGAGGGCAGGTACTATAGTTTTCCATTACTATTCCTATTTATAGAATTAGCTAACTCTCAATGGTTTTTAAATAGTCATTATTACCAATAAAATGTTACCTGAGACCACTGGTGAATTGTAGTCATAAAGGTGCTATATTTAGACTGCATGTTAAATATATTAAATATGTTATTCATTACAAAGAAAAATTAAATATTGTCTATCAACATTAACATCACATAGAGCTCCTTCCTTGATGTAGCTGAAAAAGTGACCAGAGCAGGGGGCTTACCTGCCTCTTTTTTTGGAAGGTAAACTTCATAGGGGCAGAAACTTGTTTTGTTCTTTTTCCCCACAATAATATCTTCAACATCTAGAAAAATGTCTGGTAGTGGTTTAACCAAATATTTCCTAACCAAATATTTCCTTGCTGAATACATATACAAATATTGAACTGAAATATAAAGTATTCTCTACAAGGACAAGGAAAAATTGTAAATATTTATATAGTCACACTTACTTTTCTTGTTACATCTATTTTCTGTTTCCTAACGTTTGGAGATTGGCCACTTGTTTATGATTATTATTATTAGAGATGGAGATCTTAGTCTGTTAAACAGGTTGGAGTATAGTGACACAATCACGGTTCTCTGTGGCGTCAGTCACCTGGGCTCAAGGAATCCTCCTGCCTCAGCCTCTCAAATAGCTGGGGCTACAGGCATGCACCACCCTGCCTGGCTAATTTTAAATTTTTATTTGCAGAGATGGGATCTCACGATGTTGCCCAGGCTGGTCTTGAACAACTGAGCTCAAGAAATTCTCCCACCTTGGTTTTCCAAAGTGTTGGGATTATAGGTGTGTGTCACTGTGCCCAGCCATGGAGACTAGCCACTTATTAAAGATGTATCCTGAAGTCAAAATTGTTAAAACAAAGCCTAGATTTCATTAGGAAGAAATCCTTGAGGAAGAGTGTCTATGTTTGAATATTCTTAAGCCATGGTTATTGCTGAAATTTGTACATTTTATAATATGGTAATTGTATTTAGCTAGCTGATGTCTTTTGTTTTGGAGGGCTGGGGTGTAGATACTTGTGAATGTAGAATTTAGCACCTGAAGTAGTAATTATGTGTACTTAGAAATTACAGGGTAGGAACTGGAAATTGGAATGGAAAAGGCAGGTTATGGAAAATAATATGCAATATATAGATTTATATGTTAAGTACTGTGGGGACACATAGCAAAAAATGCTTGTGATACCTTAAAACAAAGTTGCTAACTTTCTTAATTCTCTCCCGCCTCCCTGCCACCTCCAATTCACGAGAAACAATGAGGCAAAGTCATGGAACAAGATGATGATTCAAAAACACCACAATATCAACACTGAATTCAATGCAGTCTCATAAATTGAGACTGTCTGGGAAATGCTTGATGTAGGAATATGGTTTCACATCTAATGCAAAGTCTTCACAACAAACTGCATTATTTGGACTATTTTTAAAACTTTTCTCCCATGGAAATATAATTCTATATTATAAACACAGGAACTTGAGATGACTGAAAAAACAACACAGAATTTCAGATAAACAAGGACTAGCTAAATGTAGTAGGTGAGACTATATAGGAACCTTAAAAGAGTATGAATGCTACATTTTTTTTTTTTTTTGAGACGAAGTCTTGCTCTGTCACCCAGGCTGTAGTGCAGTGGCGTGATCTCTGGTCACTGCACGCTCCGCCTCCTGGGTTCATGCCATTCTCCTGCCTCAGCCTCCCGGGTAGCTGTGACTATGGATGCCCGCCACCATGCCCGGCAAACTTTTTTGTATTTTTAGTAGAGACGGGGTTTCACCATGTTGGCCAGGCTGGTCTCGAACTCCTGGCCTCAAGTGATCTTCCCACCTTGGCCTCCCAAAGTGCTGGGATTACGAGGCATGAGCCACCACACCTGGCCTTGCATGCTACATAATTGTTAGGAAAGGCGTTCACTGTAAGCTTCATGAGGAGTGGGTTTCTTTGGTTCACCATCATATTCCTGCACCTAGCACCCTGTGCATAGTAGGTACTAACCAAATATTTGTTGAATGAATTCGTGAATGAAAAGGAAGAATGTTCTTTGTCAGGCTAACATAGGGGAATCTCAGCAAAAGCAACAAGTGGTCAGCATTTGTTAAAATGTTGAACTTCATAAAGGAAAGGGATAAAGTGTGAGTTATTAAATAATGCCCGTGATATCCAGCTCGTATTCCATTAAGCCCCAGGCTAAAGGGTGAACAGTTAATTTCATAGCTGTACTAAATAGTTATATCGCATATCAGTCAAGGTGATATATGCCTCTAAATCCCTCGGAAAGCACCCAAGGGCAAAGGCCAGAAATCATTATAAGCTTGACTAGGAAAACCACTAATAAAGTGGGTCATGGAACTTTTTTTTTAATGCCAAGAAAATAATGTAATAATGGGATTGTGTCTTTCCTCATTTCCTTTGAAAATGCTTTTAGTATTAGGATCTATTCAATCAAAGGATTTAGGAATATTCTAACAATGAAAGGTTCTGCGTTTTACATTCAGTACTTATTAAAGTGGATACCTGCTGAGTTGTATTATCAGATTAAAATCTCTATGAATCAAAAATAGAGAGAGGGGAGTTTATTGGACTTTGTAAAGATATTTACGTTAGGAAGACTGACAATTACTAAAGTTTTATTTGAGGGTAGTAAATGGGAAGATTTTCTGTGTGAAAATTGAATGTAGATAATAATAATGGAAGAATGTTTAATAGATAAGGCTTTAGAATTTTACAAAGAGCTTTCAGTTATAATATGCAATTAAGCATATTGGAAAAGCTATTGAAAATAAAGCATAGTTCCACATTGTTAAAGAAATGAGGCCTGGAAGCAATATTCACAATTAACATCGGGTTAGTTCATCATCCTCTGATTTACAGTGATTTAACAATGTAGCATGGCACACATTTTTCAAAATCCAATTGCTAATCTATTTCAGGTCAAAATGAATTGGAACACGATTAGAACTTCATCTTGGTGTTCTGACCTGAAATGAAAATGCATGTACCAGTGCTGTCAAGTTTGCATTACTTCTGGGTACTACATCATGTTTCTAGGGTGGTTTTTCATCATCACAGCAACTGCACCTCGCTGTCTTATCCCTTTTTATTCCTGGAAGAGGTGGAATTCCCTTTGAAATAAAAGGAAGTTCTGCATGTGAGACAAATGTGGAGTCTCATTGTGGAGGTGGGAGAATAAACAGTGGTTGGGATGAACATAGACACTATTTCAATCCTTTGTGTGTTTCTTTTCTTCTATCCCAAAACTTTCTAGTGAAGTACTTTTCTATAACTCTCCCCCACTCACCTACGAAGTGATGTGGTAAAACAAACTTTCACCTTTTAATCAAGAAAGATATCAGTTAAGAGGTGATTTAGCAATTTCCAGGGAATCTCTGATTTTTGCAAAACGTGTTGGGGAAGGGATTGAATTCTTCAATGTTTCCTTTGGGACCACGCAATAAAGATGCAGCCGTGTTAATTGGTGAACAAAGCTGATTGGCTGGGATTGCCTTGGATTACTGCATTCAAGGGAGAATTTGGCTCAATTCTCCCCAACTTAAGGTTACTGGCTTATGCAATGATAAATTGTGAAAACTAAACGAATACAGAAAGACTTAACAATTCATCCCCAAATGCTTTTCTACATATTTTTAATGATATCCATGTGTACTCCCTTAATAAGCAAGATAGACACTCATAAATATTTCTTCTCAGAGCTTCTGGGCAAATGCAACCTGCTTTAAGAAAACTCTGTGAAAATCCAAATTTAACCTTTTTTTTTTAAACAAAATAATCATCCCCTTGAGAGCCTGTGAGAAACCGAAGGGAAGTTATATCCATTTGCTTAGTTCTGAAGGAGTTTCTATATTTTAAATGTTTAATGGTCCTCTGAAGGGGGAGCAGTTTGTTTTAGCTAAGGGCCTGCAGCCACAAACAGATATGTGAATTTTCTACATAACTGTGGAATCTAGCACTTCTTGTAGAGCAGCATTGGTAGTTTTGGGGGCATGATGGTTATAAGAATTTGAGAATGAGCTAGAAATAGATTTGCTGGGAAAATATGGGCCAAAAGGGATTCTCCAGACCTTGATACTACATAACAACAGACTCATAGTAGTACTTCTTCGATGAAATGAGACAAATCTTAAGAGCACTGGAGGCTGAAAAGGTGACTCTCTGTGGACCATTTTACTTTTCTCTTCACAGGAGTCAGTGAAGCAAGTTCATGAGACTCGGAGGCAAGGACACCAAACCAGGAGTTTTAGCTCCTACCCATGGTACTGGTAAGTCATTAAAGAGCTGCAGCTTCACAAGAGACAGCAAGGGCAAGGCTAGGGCCATAAGATTTCATAAGTCTTGAAAGCAGGGAAAAGGCAGCTTGCCCCTGCTTTTACTGGAAACAGCAAGATTCAAAGTCAGGAATTCCAAACTGTCAGAGGAAGGAGTGGGTCATGGTTTTGTGGGGCCTGAAACTTATACAACTTTCAGAATACAAAATAAGGTATAGTGTAAGGCCCTCCAAGAAATCTGTGTTAAAGAAAGGTCCTGAATCTTATGATATGATCTATAACAGATCTTTATCCCTTGCTGTGTAAAGCAAAACATACATCACTCTTTTTTTCTATTGACACCTTGATATAGCATCACTGTTGAGTAGTAGTAATAATAATAGTTTATTGAACTCTTATTATATGCTGAGCTCTATGTTAGAACCTTCCCGCATTAGTTTGCTAGGACTGTTGTAAACCAATGCCACAAATTGGGTGGCTTAAAACAACCAAAATTTATTTTCTGAGCTCTGGAGGCTTAAAGACCAAAATGAGCGCATCAACAGGGCCAATTTCCCTCCAAAATCTCTAGGGGAGGATGCTTCTTTGCCTCTTTGGTTTTCTGGTAGCCCCTGGCATTCCTTGGCTTGTGGCACCATCATTTCAATCTTTGCCTCCATCTTCACATGATGTTCGTCCCTGTGTGTGTTTTCTTTTATTATAAGGACACCAGTCATTTTGGATTAGGGCCTACTCTAATTCAGAATGATCTCATCTTATTTTGATTACATCTGCAAAGATCCTATTTTCCCAAATCAGGTCACATTCACAGGGACTAGGAGTTAGGACCTCAACATACATTTTGGGAAGAGGGGACCACAATTCAACCTATTGCACTTACAGATGACTCCTTTAGTCTTCACACTAATCCTGAGAGGAGGTTGCTATTATTACTCCTTTTTACAGTTGAAGAAACTGAGAGAAATGCCTGAGGTCACTAAGTTAGATGCATTAGTGCTGAGATTCCGTAATTCCAACCTAAACCTGATGCCTCCTCTGCCCACACATTTAATTCTGATAGAAGTGAATTAATCAATTTCTATCTGTCTGAAAAAAGACCTATTTATAGCTAGAGTTTTCTTTAATGGGAATCAAGACAAGGAATTCACCCATTTCTTAATTCTTTGAGATGTTCGTGAATGACTTTAAGGACATCATTCCTTAAAACTTGTTTGGCAGTGATATTTAAAGATGCTATTCTAGAGTGTTTGGGGACATACTCAGATCATTCTAAGAATCTTTTTAATCTCCTATTTAAAGCTACCAAAAATTTTCCTGGCTTAGATTTCTTATATGCAAAGACTTTTAAAAAACTGTATAATTGGAATCAGAACAACACAGCTAGAATTTTAAAAAATGCCTAATGGCCATGAGTTGGTACCATGCATTTTGGGAGTAGAGGAGTAATTGGTTTATTTATTATAGAAATATTTCTCATGATTTATCTATGTTATAAAAAAACAGAGATGGTTTGATGAGTTCAGAATTAAAATGGCTCACAGCCAGAAATTGTTGAGATCTTTGGAGGATTACACACCTTTATATGCTGGGCAATAAAGGAATTCCTTGCAAGAGAAATGTCAAGTATATAATGAAAGGGAAAATTTAGTTCTTGACCAAACCACAAGTTACTTAACACCCTGTAGATCTTAGTTTCTTTCTTTCTTTCTTTTTTTTTTTTTTTAAATTATACTTT